GACCCAATGATAGGGAGTTTAGAAACCAATGGGCCTCTTCACCATAGGGGCGTGACTAACCATCCCCACCCAGTCCTCAAACAGGCCACGCTCAGCCTTTTAGCGCAGAGCAACTTCCCGGAGTCTTCACGGAGACTTCAGGGTTGTCTACCGCTGACGAAGCTTCTGTGAGAGAAGCGAAACGTCCTTTTTTGTTTTTTGTTTTTTACCCACAGGTACAGATGACGACTGACAGAACCCTTTCCTTTGTACTTCTACCCTTGCATTTTCACACAAATAACTGCACTTTCTACTCCTTACACACACACAAACGCACACGCACACACACACACACACACACACACACACACACACACACACACACACACACACACACACACACACACACACACACAAAGAACCTAATTGCTATTTGATTTTGGATTGTGTTTATTCCAATTCTTCGTTGCTTAGAAAACTAATCAATAAATCATGCTTGGATAGATCGAATGATTTTGATGGTGCTTGTATGACAAGTATAAAGATAAAACATTACATTACACTTTTGGTTTGGATGCAATGCATTGCACCTGCATCTGCATCTGAAATCAGTGACGGCTCTCCGCTCTTAAATTAGTACAGGTAAGATGTCGGGTAAGCTGTCCGACTGTTTATGTCCCAACTGAGTCAAGTAGCAGCAGCGAAGAGCTTCGTAGCCAGAAAAGCCAGCCAACCATTGAGCGTCCCTTGTTGTACTCGGAGGAGTTTTTCGAAAATAACTCATTTCGAATGGGCGGCAAATTTTGCTAAGCTAAATGCCACCAGCTAATAGCTTTCCAAAACTCACTGTCAGACTTGAAAAAGCATACTGGACTAAGCTTAAAGTTTATTATCAAGGGGTGTCAAGGGCGTAAGATTGATTTAGTCTTCAGACAAATGTTACATCACTTTAATTTTTTGCTGCATATAAATCTTAGTAATGTACTAGCGCTAGCTAACAGTACATGTACAAGTAGTACACATTATACAGTATTTGTCTTGTTTATACTTTAAGTTTTAAAACCATTACTATTAACCACATTTTTACTGAGGAAAGCTTGAGTTAATACTTCAACTTCTACTTTTTAAACTCTGACCCACAGTGGGAGTGTCATGGGGGAGATCCCAGGATAATCAAAAAGGGAGGACCGTGGGGTGCGGGGTCAGTTTTGGACTGATGTCCCAAAAAGGGAGACCACTGGCAGCATTAGGGAGCACCAAAACCTCTGGGTATGGCAGTGTTAAATCCCAATATTTCTACTTCCACTCGAGTAATGAAGGTGAGTACTTTTGACATGTCTGGGCAGTGGCGGACCCTCAGGGCCAGCAAGGCCTTCTCTGCTGGCCTAAACATTCTCAGAAAAGTAAATTTA